ATAAAACGATATATGTTTCTCAACCGTTAAATCAAATACATATTGAGATGCACTGAAAAAACTTGAACTTGTCTTTACTAACTTGCACAATAATAAACTAAATTGACAATTGCATACATGGGCTTAGCCAAATTGGCTAGAACGGCTGTGCTCCCCACTCTACACCCGAATTCAAATCCCCCTCCCCTCCCCACTCTACACCCGAATTCAAATCCCCCTCCCCGTAGTTTAAATTAGTTTAAAGTATAATATCGCTTGTATTAAAAAACAAAACTAAATTGACAATTGAAGATAGTTTGGATACAGTTGATTCAAAAAACAATTAGTCAAGATGAGGCAAGTCCAATACTAATTTTGCTCAATTTGATGTTTGCAAATCTATAAGAGGGTTTTAGTGTAGTTGGTATTTAGTCATTGATTTGCCAAGTCAAATACAACATTTACATAACAAAGGGCACACCGCGTGCTTATCATACCCAGCAGCCTTAGCTTTATAAATTAATAGTCTATTCTACAGGCCAGTGAGAAGGGAATTGAAAAATGAGGAGAAAATAAGACAACAATGTGGTCATCAGACAAAACTACAAGAGCTTTGCTATGCCTCTGACTTGAAGATCTTCTTGGCCAAAATAATCATTTCTATCCATTTTTCTTTTCCCCTGTGTTATCCATCTTACATATGAACAAAGTATCATGCTGATCCTCTTGATGATAAGGGATTCGACCTTGATGATCAACCTCTGTGACTTCACATTAATTTAGTGGACTTGAACTGCAATCTGCTGAAATTTGTTTAATCACTGTCACTGACAGAGAGCAAGCTGCTAGTCTTGTAGCGGACCTCTCACCTCTTGAAGGATTGAAAACCATTAATTTGGATGCTTCTTTATGATCCGATTGGCCGATGAATGAATCCCAAAGAACAAATCTTGTGCTTATTTCATTAAATCCAAAAATACAAAGCCATTCCAAAGGCTATGCAAGAGCATTGATGGTAATAGGTTCCTTGACCGTGCAAATATAACACCCATCACCACCCCAAGAAAAATAAGTGGTAGCATCCTCTGTACATTAAAATGCGCTAAAGCAAATACAACCGAGCTCACCAGTATTGCAGACCATACAGGCATGTACTTGGTCAAGGAAGGAAGTAGGAAACCCCTAAACACTATCTCCTCCCATACAGGAGCACACACCGAAACTACTACCGCATACAGTGCCATTGCCACTGGATCACGTGCCAAAATTGATTGCTCAACACTTGATATTGTGACAGGGGTGGAAGGCAAAAGAGGTAGTAGGTTGAGGTTGAACTGTGAGAGCCGATTGACCAGTGGAAACATAAGGCATCCAAGAGCAACATCCAACTGCCAGGATCCTTTCAAGCTAAATTTGAACCAATCTGGGGGAAGCGGACGGAAACGAGATAAGCAGCGATAAAGGATCACAATTCCAGCAAGACCCTCAGTTACATCAGTCACCAGGCTAAATAAGGCTTGTCCTCTAAATGTTAATGATTCCCTGCTGAAACCTGCCAGGTGAGCTGCAAATGGAACCATCCAAGAACCTATGAACCAGAAAGCTACAACCCATAGTAGCATGACCTGCATCATGTATATCACATCAACTTTGCCAATAACAAGGGGCAAAAGTCTCTTTCTTTATAAGTCCTGGTTATTAAGACACCTTATCTTCATAATTTTCCTTTTTCTCGTAAACTAATCCTTTAAAAGTAGATGATGGATGTGACAGCTTGCAATCCACAACTGTCGCCTAGTCATATTTAAGTTTCATCACACACTATTGAAACACTTACCTGCATTATGGTCTCTGCTGTCCATGGCACACTCCACCGACTCCCAATCGCCCTAAACACTGCATCTGCAGCCTGAAATTTAAAACCCCAGGAAAGAAAAAATGAGAACCTCGATGCAGCCTGTGGTATGTTTTTTTAGATCAAAGTAATAAAAGTGGTTACAGGATTTTCCTGCCGTATTAATAAGATTCCATTATCGTGTGTGTATATCATTAAATTCACTTAAAACAGCAGAGCAAAAACGAAAATGGAACCAACATCCTAGTTTCTGATGGAGGTAAAACTATCCTGACAATTGAAGCATAACTGTAAAGCAAATGTAAGATCATGATTTGTCCTAATCATACACCCTAGTATTTGTTATGGATATATATCCCATTCAATCAACCAAACATCAGGTGTTTACTACTGATTATTAAAAGCTTAGGATACCACCATAGGCAGATGGCACGATTCACTCACCGAAATTCACATACCGGAAAAACAACATAACTTGTTGTGGTATTGAAAACAGCTAGTCAAGGTGGTTACCGCCTAAATTTCCATCAAATAATCATATGTTCATACTGCATGAACTTTATCATTCACCTTACTATAAGTCAATTGCAACTATGAAAGTTAAAGAACTTCATCTAGGCGATGCAGTGAATATTGCCATAGTCTTTAACACCATAAATCTTCAGCCTACTCTTAAGAAAATCCTTGAATAAAAAATACTACTTATCATTCAGATGTCAGATCAAGTGATGTTTCATGGTCTCAAACTATTTCAATGGTAAGGTTTATAGTCAATTTAACACTTCTACTTTCAACTACCACACATATAATGTACATGGATCAACAAGGCAGTTAATCAACATGTCACTCAAACTTCAATCCAACCCCTTAATAATCTCAATAGTAACTTCGATAAAAATCTCTATGTTCTACAAACTATTTACCATCCACTTCTTGTACATACTACAACAAGAACAACCAGACATTCAAACTCATTGAATAAAGTAATAAAACAAGGAAATATGACCTCTCGAAGAGTGAAACCCCAATCCTTTTTAACCACCTTAGAATCATCAAATTCGGTCTTAACTACTTCCTCAGGCACCAAGTGTCCAATATAATCAGCTTTCGGGGTTTCTGATGAAGAATCCTCTTTTCTAAAGCATGAAATTCTTGTCCATCTCTGCAAATAAAAAAGTAACCCAAAACACAGAAGTGAAAACTACTGAGTACAAATTAAGGGCATAACACAAAAGAAAACACCTCTGGTTTAGCTGCCGATAAAGCAATGGAAAATTGGAACAAAAACAAAAACCAAGTCTTACCCTTTTGTACAGCTCAATTAAATAGTCAATAAAAAGGTCCAAAATTTTCAATCTTTTATACATTTCTCGGCAACCAAGCAGTGAACAGACTGTAAATTATCGACATAAATGAAGATAAACAAACAAGAGGGAACATTATTTACCGTGCTGGAAGGCCTGGAGTGAGATTCGAAGATCCTAAAACTCCGGGAAATTGGATATAAAGCTCCGGGTCGGGTCGAAACCCTAGCTTTGCGGGCAGGTGATTGAAGGAAAGGGCGGCGAATAAGAGAGTGAGAGCAAGTGGAGCTCAACATGTTGTGAGCGAATTCTCCAAATTCCCAAATTCTGTTTGCATCAGACTTCAGAGGGGTTTTTGGGTTTGAAAGTTTTCTCTTTTGTTTGGCAGTTGGTTTCCCCCAATTCCCAGATTCTCAGGGAGGGAGGGAGAGAATGGGAATTGGCTTCTCAGAAAGAAAGTTAGGGATTGGTTATTGTACAGGAGTTATAGGGCTCCTCGCATCTCCATCTCATATGCCTGCCTGGGTTTGGTTTGGGCCTGTGGCTGCTGGCTGAGTAATTTATGGGTTTGAGGGGGTGTTTGGATACATGGATAAGAGTTTTTCCAATTCCCAGAGATTCTGGGCAATTGGGATAATGGGATTTTTATCATATTTTTGTTGGTCGTTGGTCATAACTCAAAACCATGGTTGAAAATTACACTTTGCCTACCCATTCATGAAATGATAATGATAATTGGATTGGATTGCCTTTTGTCCAGGGAATTTTTCTTTCTCTGACCGGACTAACTGGCTGGAGTGCTGGACTACTCAAAGATAAACCAAGGAACTAAAATATAGGATTAGGAATAAGAACCCAATTTCCCCTTCCCAACTTTATGGACTTTGTGGTTGCCTTTGCTTGCCCTAAAACAAGGGTCGTTTGATTTGAATATATGATATGGGAATGGATTATAGCGACTTATTACATTCTCAATAAGGGTTTCACTCTCGCTTTTCTCTTTTTCTTTTTCACGGAAGTATTAGGGATTCTAGAGTCGGAACGTAAATTTATGTATTATGCATAAGTTTATGATGAATGGTGAGCGGAAACCCTTTCAGTTCATTACTTCATTATCTCTGATATCAAACTTGGATTAAAATTGATGAAGATTTTGAGTTTTATACTGCCATCAACAACACATTCCCATAGAAAAGAATCCCAACAACGTTCATATCATATAGAATAGAACAGTAAGGGGGAAAGTGATAATAAAAGAGATTTTCTATTTAAACCCCGCACTCCTATTTTTTCACCCCAATATTTAAATTTTTAAGCTGTCAGTTTTATTATTGTGTAAAAGAACAAAAAAAGTCATTCAACTTAATATTTAATCTTAGTACATCTATCTATGCCCACACCTCACCACTCTTTTTATTAAGTTTTAGAAAAATACAAATTCATCTACATCTTATTGCTAATGGAGTTTAGTCTCGTAAAAAAAAGTCTTAACTTGCATGTCAGTGGTCTGAGGTTTAAACCCTACCACACACATCTTTGTCTCATTAGTTAATCTTTTTAATCACATGATAAAAATAGCCTTGTGAAAATAACAAAATCTCATGTATACTATAGATATTGTTTAATGATTTGAGTATTGGAGTGAACAACGAAAAATGTGGGGTTTAAATACAAAAACTCTTTTATTTCTTTTTTTTTTCAGCTTGGTGTGTATTTAAGGGCAGTTTGGGAAGATAGTGGGGTTTTCTTAGAAGTTGTGAAACTTTAAATTAGAAGTTGGGGTGAACTTAGAACATGGGGTGAACAAAGAGAAGTGTGAGGTTTAAATAGAAAATCTCTAATAAAAAGATATTTATGTCAATGAATTTTCTTTTGTAATGAATTATGAATGTCACAGACCGATCCTCCGAGCTGAACGAAGTTATTTGGACAAGGTCCTGTTATTTGAACACAAAGTGCATCAACTCTCAATCTCCCTTCAAATGAAAAAAGAAAGAACAAAAAATGCTACTTCCAATTTTCCATACACGTAAACAAACCTGAATTCAGGTTTACGAAACAAAACTTAACATTTTTGGGAAACACAAGAATTATGTGGCTTGAAATTTTGCGGAACCAATTAAAAATCCTGCTTCTAATGACAGACTGAGCATCTCTGGCTAATTCAATTATTGAGAACCACTTAGGCCTCAGCAGTAGAACAACCAACAACTTGGCATTAAAATGAACCTCCTCCATCAATGCTTTGTGCCAAGTTAGCAACGTATCTTCCAAATACCAACAATCTGAATCTATTCACACAAGATAAAGTGCATGAAACTCTGGACAAAGCAGGCACTGTGCAAGTTTTGCTGCCAAAATATGCATCTTCACAAGATGTACTGCATTAAACAATGTAGTTCATTCCCACCTTGATTAAACAGATATGAGGAATGTTCAAAGCAACAGCAGGAGATCGGCAGTTCTTACGTAAGAAAGAGTAGGCAACATCGATAGCGCACTTCTTTATGAATGACGAATTCCATTTTGCCTTTAAATAAGCAGCACCTATTACATATGCTACCCCAGCATGCTTTGCTTCCACAAGTTCCTGCAGCTGTTCCTTCACACGTGTATCCTTGCATTTTGCATCCATCAACCCAAACCGAGCCCGCCTCCAATAGTTTAGTTTCGGTGCTTCTTGCTCATAGGTGGCCTGCAAGTTCTGCAGTGTGTTAGACTTGCTGCTGCTCACAATAGTTGAAGAACTTGAACTGCTGCTTTCTCCAGGGCCAGAAGTTTGTGACATAAACAATGCTGTGCCAAACTTCCCAGAAGTCTTCACAACTGCCATACGACCATCCACAGCACCTTCAGGAGTTCCACAACCTTCTGCTTCCATTTGGATGAACTCCGCTATGCTCATCACCACATCAATTTCAAAGTCATCTCCATTTTTAAAGACATCTTTGTATCCATTCCGAACCATACAGCGGTACATCCCATAAGATTTGGGACCAATGCGACCAACAAGATACCTATCTTTTTGGGGTACATAGGGAACAGGAACAGTTTTAATGCAAACAAAGACAACCACTTGGTAAAAGGCTGGTAAGTTGGTTAAGAAATGAGTAAATGTTGCTGGGACTCCCGTAGCCAACTCAGTGTAGATGAGGCCAATCCCTGGGACCCTAACAATCCCAAGACTAGGGCCCAGCGTGAGTATATGCCTCATTGAAACCTTGTTATGCAGGTCATACAAATACTTCTTCCTCGTTCCATATTGCCAGACATACATAACTACCAAGAAGACTGCAGAGAGAACAGGGGGAAACCATCCACCTTTAAGGATTCTCATACACGAAGATGAAAGGTAGATGATTTCAACTGAACCAAAAAGTACACTGAATAAAAGGGCAAACATGAAACTCTTATGCCAAACAAGGCTGATTCCTAGCGATGTCAACCACGTTGTTATGATTGTAACAGCCAAACATGCAATCCCTGATATTAAGAAACCAAGATAAGCTTTAGTTTACAAAATGAAAGAAGAAATATGACAAATTTACGATATTGACTAGATCTACTCTGTAATGTTTTGCCTGGATATAGATATAAATTAAGATACTGGTAACAGCTGAACTGTCAAGACTCGTGTCAAGGTTAGGGCCAGTCCAATAGTAAATAAAATATCTCAAAGCACCATGCAAAGTACAGGAATAATGGATGGGATCATTGGCCATCCAAATTTGAAAGGTCCTTAGACGACGTAGGTTCTTACTATTTAAAAGAATTTCACGTTAAGTATCTACCTGGTATCTCATACCTACTGAATCTAATAAGTAGCCCTTCTGAAAAGAAAAAAAAGGCACAATATGCAGAATTCATTGAACTGGCATTTGCAAAGGTAAGAGCAGCTTATTCCGTCCAGATAAAGTCACCCATCTCCCAAAGTACCACATATATGGTTCAGATAATTTGGGTGGACAAGAAATTAAGATTCAAAATAAAACTCTATCATGATTTACCTCCATTTCCCAGATGTGAAATTGATTTCTCAATAACTGTCACATATATATGAGCATGTATGAAAGTCAACGCAATATTTGGTTTCCATAGAGAACACTGACATGTTCTTTGATGGACTTAACAAGTATATGGCATGCACAAACACCAACCAATAAGGAAAATAATATTATCTGATATTGAAAGTATTTTAGATAAAAGATGACATACCATAAGCATTTCCTATATAATTTATGTCTCGAAAACCAATTGTGACACCCAGACTGAGAATCATAAGAGACCAGTTTATCTCAGGGATGTATATCTGACCAGGGATTCGTCTCTTCGTATGTACAACCTTGACTCGAGGAAAACATCGTATTGCATGCAATTGCTTGACTATTGAGAATGTGGAAGAGATAACAGGTTGACTGGCAACAATGGCAGCCAAAGGTGCAACCACAAGTACTGGCCAAAGTAAGGGAACTACAGAAAAGACGAGCATTCTATAAGCTAAACAGTAGTAATTTTTCACAGATAAATCTTTTAAAATAAATAATGCAAGAATGCTCAACAAGCTTTACGAATCAAAGTGTTAAAGGGAGATGGAGGCTGTAAAGTATGCACATTAATGTAATCATTCCAGAATCCACAATCAAGTCCAGACAGCAATGTTTCTTTGCATATCTAGAAGCTTACCTGGAATAGAAGCATAAAAGCTCATAGACACTGCAGATAAATTTTTTGAAAGAAATGCAGCTTGTCCCATGTATTGAAGTATTAGACATGGATAAATGACAAAAGAAAATGCAACCTGCACATATCAACAAGAGTTAGTTTTTTCCTTGCTACGTAGAACTGTTGATATATGCCACAATCTTCAACATTCTACATAAATGGCAGGGTGGGAACACCAATCCATCAAGGATAGAGTGCAAATTCTCCAGAAAAAGACCTATGTACTCAATCATTTAGAAATTTCCTGGAACATGCATAATGCTTTAATCACCAACCAGAAATGAGAGGTGCAGAATTTACATATACTCCTGCCAGTTAAGGCTGCTCCTCAGAGCAAAACAAAACAGTCGAATTGTGATTTCATATAATGTAACCACAAGTGGGTTTCTGCCTTAATATTACTCCGTGTGGATTAAACCACAGACAGACCACTTCAAATTTTCATGTATTTCAGGTTACCATATTCTAATCAATAAATACCCTCTCTTTAAATCAAATACTCTGAATGCAACACTTTAAAATCAATTTCTGAACTCAAATTTATTCTAAACCCAACTAATTGAGATAAACCATATGTTTTCCACCACCTCAAAGTTACCATGGCTTGATTGTATTGTATAGAAAATTTTAAGTATGCACATTTAATGCATATGCACATTTAATGCTTAAACTGCATGTTTTATCCTTCTGGTTGACATATGACTCCTAGAAGAAGTTTCATAACAATTTACTAGGTAGTTCCATTTCATCTCAGAGACACATTGAGCATATCAACATTTGAAAAAGAACTACATATGCGGACAATAAGTTTCACTGTTAATGACAATGTACTCTATCCCACAGTAATGTCTAACTTTAAAACCTGTTCTTCACAACATGATGGAGAATTCCAAAGCAATCAGCCCTGGGCCTTAAAAGCTCTTAATAATAAATAAAACAAATGCAAAAGAACAAAAAGAACAGAAAGATAATATTTTGCATCGTGACTTCCTTGCACAAACCCACAGCCTAGCATGAACTAAAAGACCTAGTCTACAATTAGTGGTCCTGCATACCCTTATTGGTGTTGCTCTGAAATGACCAAGATCCGCAAACATGGATTCAGTTCCTACAATTGATAAAAAAAACATTACCCAATTATGAGAAGTAGAGCTATGAAAAGAAAAAATGTGCAAGTGCTCTACTTACCAGTAATACATAAAAGTATTCCTCCAAGAGAAATCCAACCATCTTTTCCTGTCCTCTTAAAGAATATGTAAACATAATATGGAGAAAGAGCCTGATATACTCTTGGATTCCACTCGATGATATTGTACATTCCAACAGCAGCAACTAACAGTACCCAAAGGATCATGATGGGAGTGAATATGAAGGCCAACTTGTGGATGCCACGGTGTTGCAAAACAAAAAGAGCAACTAATAGAATACAGGCAATAAGAACCACCACACCTGGTTTGTGTACAAGTGTTAGTAGCTAAAATGGCATCAGATAAATTTTAAGAGCGAAGAACATTTTTACACGGAAAAACAGGTAGTTCTGTAAATCCCCATCCCCTATCATTTCTCCTTTCCCTCTTGCAACTTTCTTGGTACGATGCTGACATCTCAGTCTGAGAGACCAGGACTCCTTTCCATTATGCATCTAAGTAATGCATTGTGGACCCAGCAGCAAAGTTATAAAGCTAGACACTACTAAGTATGTATATCTCACACTACTAACTACGGTTCTACTAAATGTTACTTTCTCATCTGATAATTTTTGAACTAGTAGATTCAACCTTATTTACAGATATCAGAGACTGCTAAGTATACAAACATAAATTATGTTTGGGCTTGTAGCAAGACCAGAAAAGCCAGACAACTGCTCAAGCTCATACCATAACCTATATGTTTATTTCGGACAACTATAATTATTAACAGTTGAATTTTATTAGGACAATGTTACATATGTATACATATATTCTACTTTTGGAGAGGAAGACTCACTATTATGCAAATCTTTCGCTTGAAATTTTAGCCCTTCAACAGATGCAAAAACTGCAAATGACCAAACACTTCTTATTAGCACAGGTTGTTAAAGAGATAACAAATGGCATAAAGAACCATGTACAAAAGTACAAAATCAATCAGTGCAAATCCCGCTGCAATATTTTAAAGGATCAAAGGGGTCAAACAAGGACAATTCACCCGATATTGCAGGAGTGAGGATACCAACACAGATCACCATGGAAGCTCCAAATAAAACCAGAAGAAGTAAACAAGTTTGGGCACTTTTATGTCCCTCAATAAATCCTTTCAATGGTGAAGTGGGTCTGTTCGTATTGGAACGACCTGGGTAACGATATGTAGAGATCTCCTCATCAGCTGCTTGATGATTAGGCAGCAAACAGAATTTTGCATTTCTGCAAAGGAGTGCGTATAATGCGATAAGCCCACCTGAAAATTACCCAAAACTACAAACATGAATCCACAAACAAAGAATAGGGCTGGCAGCATCAGTGACAATTGTATCAGCTCTTACCTTGACCATTATCGTCGGCACTCAACATGATAAAAGCATACTTGAACAATGAAATAAGAGTAATAGTCCAAAAAATCACCGAAAACACCCCAAAGACTGCATCCTCGGTTTGGTAATGGAGCAACCCTCCAGAAAATGCACATCTATAAACATAAAGAGGGGCAATGCTCAAAGCACCAAAAACCAAACCAAAACCCCTATACACCAAAAGGGCATTTTGTCTACTTTGACCTCTCCAGTCAACCTGTTAAAAGAACACACAGTGCATAAAGTTTCAAGCTTTAAAGCTAAACATAAAGCATGTAACTATTCAAACACAATGCATACAATAAATTACTCTTAGTAATGTATATGGTAATGTTCTATTTGAAACCTAAAGTTCATAGCCCCTTTCATCATTTGTTTTGGGTTTCAATATAACTAATACTAAATAAATTAGGAATTTGATTGTGCATGATGAAAATCAAGATTCTTTGCATAAACTGAAGAATGGCTTGGTTTCAAAGAATTTTCTTGGATTTTCTCGTTGATTTTTCTCGAGAAACAAACGAAAAGTGAGGGTTTTTACCATGGCCAGTCGGAGATGGACCTCTACGATTCTCTCTGTGTCCTCCTGGCTTTTGAAGCTTAAGAAAATGATAAGAGAATTCAAAGCATACAAAATTTAAAAGAGAAAGAGATTAAATTTTGGGGACGGTGGTATGTGTTAAGAGGTGGACATTATCGAATTCGAAAGAGTCGAACGTTGTAAGTAACAGATCCAAATCTGGCGCGTCCTCTGCCGCCGGGATTTTCTCGGTGTTTCGGTTTTTCTGTTTCAGTGGGCCCTGCAAAGCAAAGAATGTCGGCTTTGCTAAAAGTCTGTTTTTGATTGGGGCGCTAAAAGTTTCTTTTCGATTGGGTTTCTTTGCAGATTCATCCTTTGGAGTTTACGAAATTACACTCTTGGCTCCCCATCCTTTTTTTATTGTCGAATGCCATCCATTGACCTCAATTAATTTATGCAAATGGAAAGATTCCTGTGTTGGATGAGCAAAACAAAACAAAAGTTTCATTTTAAACACTAAACTATAAACAGCAGAGATCTGGAGTGCCTCTTCATGAACCATGTGGCCGCAATGATACAACACAAAAAATAACACCATGTGATAGTGTTACAGTAGTTAAATACACCGAATGAGTGTTCGGTGTTATTCACCTTATATTTCTTGTTGAATGTGGATTCTCTTTCTTTGCAGCAAAATTCATGGAGATGAAATATTAAATGCGGAAAAAATGGATGAAATATTCACCATTCATAAGAAATGGTGACGAAGATGAACCATATGACAACAATACATGTATAAAATTTGCAAGTGCAATATTTCTTTCAGAACCCAAAAGCTTTCTGTTCACATATAAAATTGGAAATTTATAAATAACGTTATCCTGAAGCAATTAAAATGTCGGGAAAATCTAAATCATTACTTTAGGTAAAATGGCCAAATACAGGGACAAGTAGGAGGACCGCATAACTAGTATTCATTTTATTCTCTTTTGCATGGGGAAGTTGGGCTTAGAGAACTCGCATATGCTCTAACATTGCACCACTAAATTGCCAAAGGGGAAATCTGCCCTACACAAAGAAGTTGAATCATTCTGCAAACTTACGTAAATCGAGCACTCATCTCTTCCGCTAGAGGGCAGGCGAACAACATGCAATCCCAATCAGCTAAACTGAGATTGAAAATGATTTCTCAGCCCGCAAAATTAACAAACCGGTCACGCCAGGAGTTTAGCACAGGAAAACAGTGTCCTTTCTATTTTCTTCGTCTGTTTGTGACCAACTCAGGATCGCCTTTCCTCATCATGGCTGCAAACTCATCATAATTAATCCTTCCATCCTGCAAATAATTTGGGAATTCATTAAGTGTGACAAAAACATTCAACAAGGTTTTACCAAAAGACAGGATATGAAAACAAGAACACTGTAGCAATCAGCCCAGTTTGTTAGTAATATGCAATGGTGTAACTACGAGATGATTGACAGGATTCTCTTTGCAACAAAGAAATTCAGAGACCGTCTGATTTAATATTTATTTTTTACTGCTTGGTTGTGTCACTTATTTTTGGTACTAGATGCATTATCAGAAATTTGGAACAATGTCCTGGATTTTCTGTTCAAAACATGAGAAATTTGCATTGCCCCTCTCCCAGTACTATATGACCATTCCAGTTTTGGTGTCGACAACAATTGTGTGGCCGAAAATCAAGAGTGTGAAGTCTTATCCCAATATGATTTCAACATTATATTGACGAAAAAGTCCAGACCCTAATCCTTCAGTAGTCACAGTTTCATTAAAGTTTATTTGTTAATCTCCCATGTGTAATACATGGGAAAGAAAAATTCATCTTAGAAAGAAAAAAAAAAGAGTTGAAAGAAGAAAACATATATATTATGAAGGCAAGGAGATTATGAACGTACAAGGTCTGTGTCAACTTCCGCAATGATTTCCTTAATTGTTTTCTCATCACCCATATTATACTTCTTAAGTGCTTGCTCCAATTCTTCCATTGTGATGTACCTGAAATCAGCAGAGGTTAAAAAGTGTTTTTTAGAAACAAAAAATGATACTCAGCTTTACATCAATATAGGGACAAAAAACAGCTATAACTATGTTATTGGTAATAGAGTAAATTGTCACCCGCTCTTGTCTTTGTCAAAATATTCAAAGGCTTTGTATAAATGGTCCTCTCTTTCCATTCTATTCATGTGCATAGTAGCTGTTATAAACTCAATGTAATCAATTGTTCCATTTCCATCCACATCAGCCTGAAAAGGAAAACAGAATTTGTCAAGTTTTGTAGGATCATGAAATTGATCATCCAAATGAGTTATGCACATGGAAGAAACATATAAAATATCTGAAGTAGTCATAAAGCTGAATGGTTTAGACTTATTATAGGTTTATGATAACTGAAACACTAAGAAGCTGATGATTCTGTTCCACCAAAGTATCCTTGGAACATTTTTACGAAAAATAGTTGGTCATGTTTAAAATGAAAGAAATTGAGAAAAGAGATTAGAAATGGATGGGTAAATGTGAAGATAAATTTGGAGCCTCATTTTCTCTTCACATTCACCTTTCCCTCCAAGAGTGGAGAGATTGGAGGGGAAAATGCGATTTTGATATTGATTGATTAATTATTTCAAACAGTCCTCACTTTTCTCTCTATTTCTTTGCTAACCAACGATCAAGAATAAGAAAAATGAAAAGTCTCTTTTATTCTCTTTCTTGTCTCTCAGATCTTTTCTTTTTCTTCTCTCTTAACTAAAATTAGTGAACCCACTAGCATCATGAAGCTCCAGTTGCACTAATAGTAAGAAGACTGGAGATATTACCGCTTCCATCAACTGTCTCACTTCAGACTCAGAAAGCTTGGTTCCCAGTTTTGGAAGACCAGCTTTTAACTCTTCAAATGTAATTGTTCCACTGTTATCTGTGTCCATGGATTTGAACATTTCCTTCAAGCCTATGATTTCCTCTTCAGAAAGATTTTCTGCAATTACCTGCAAGAGTAAAATAAAGCATATGTTATTGAATTTTTAATCGCAAAAACAAGACTGATGATGCTGACACATCTCTAATCTCATGACATGGGCTCGACCAGCAGCATGCCCACACCCTAGGATTTCATTTGCACCAACCTCATTCCAATCCATGAATATGATGCTAATGAAGTTGATAAAAGATACACTCACCTTCAATGCTACTTTCTTGAGTTTGTTCATTGCCCTGAACTGTTTCATTCTAGATAAAACAGCAATATCAAGAGGTTTATCAGATGCATCCCCATCTTCTCGCATCCATGGATGATCTGCATTGCATTTTGAGTGGTTTAGTTTCATTTATAATTTACAAACACTAATCCAGGGATGATTTTAACAGGTAAAAAGCATGAAAAGAAAATTTTCCTGTATGATTGGCCCAAACATATTCCCTTCCTCAACCTAATGACCAACAAGCCTGGCCAAAGAAACTACCAAAGAAAATATGTGACAATATACAAATGACTAGCTCACTTAAACCGTAGGAAACCATATCAACTGAGCACCTTCATTCTTTCTCTTAATCCTCCAAACCTTCTGATGTACTGTATGGCTAGCTCACTTAAATGAAACTGCAACCAGGAGCATCCTCCATAATTTTCACCCTTTAATTCGTCAATTTAAAATATGATGCCAAGGAGATAATATCATGTCATCATTCCTAGAGCATGACCCCAACTTCAACTGTGTAATATAATGCCCACTTGCATATAAAGAAACTAGACATAGAAATTCTCCACACAAAAAAGAAAGGCCTGAAATAACTTAAAGGAATTCCATGTCTCTAGCAGAAACCTAAAAGAAAACTTACTTAAAACGTCAACTGCTGCAAGTCGTTCCTTAGCATCAGCTCGGAGCATTTTCTTCACAAGATCTTTGGCACTGCTAGATATGGAAGGCCAGGGATCAGATGAGAAATCAATATGGCCCCGAAGAATGGCATCAAAGATACCTTGTTCATTCTCTGCATATGAAAGAAAAGTGAAGCTGAAAACCACTGCTAAACTGAGCAACTGTTATAAATGCGATAAACTGAAAATGGAAAATAACATAAAATTCATGCTGAGTGCTGACTTAAAGCTTGCTGGCAGATAATTGGATCACGAGGGAGGATGTAAGGAAATTAATTATGTTTTTTGCTGAAAAGAAAGCCTTGTTCTTTTTCAGGATTGGATGAAGAGGATAAAACAGAGGGGCTGAAAAGTCATCGTGAGACTTCTGGTCGTATCAATGAACTAGATGACGTACTGTCAAGGACATTATCCAGACATAGATGTATAAACCTATTTTGGAAGTAATATTTAGCTTTTCATAGATTTCTACTCAGAAATCAAAAGGACTACATGGTTAAAATTCTATTACTCTTCTGGGACAAAAGCCATACCTCCCCAAAATGGTGGGACTCCACTAAGTAGAATGTATAGTATCACCCCTGCACTCCAAATATCAGCCTCAGCTCCATAACGCCGACGCAGCACTTCAGGAGCAACATAATATGCACTTCCCACAAGATCCTTAAATACATCTCCTGCACTCAAAAATAAACTGTACATTTCAACATGAAGATCCTTAAGCATATCTCATGTACATTACTTTTGAATAACTAAACCTCAAAAACGAAGATGATACGAAACAATTTCAAGTTTTAAAATTCAAAATACAATAACACATGCCAAGTTAAAGCAAGACCTAGAACAATTGAACTCATTGTGAAACATGAGTAGCAATACTCTGGGAAATTGGCAACCATAGTGTGCTTCTTAGTAATTCATGATTTAAAAGCAGAATAGGCACGGAGGACTTTGCCCCTATTTTTGGTGCAAGCAATGAACTGTAACTACTAATGTGTTGGATGCCAAACTAAAATTCTTGCCGCCAACAAACAATACACAATCTCCACAAAAGACTTCTAGTGGATAGAAATAAAACACATGAAGAGTAATGTTTCAATTTCTAAACCAATGCAGTCTTCAAAACTTGTCAACTTCAGCTCAAGTTATCACCTAAATGCAATGAAATAGATTCGAGCCATTCTACATGAACTATATGATAAACACAAAAATTGAAGCAAACCCAGCTCAAGTTAAAGACTGCAACTTTAGTCTTCAAAGTAGCAAAAAATTAGCTAACTCATGCCATTACAGTCAAAAACTACTGTAAAAACAACACTACACATGAAATTCGAACAACCAAAGCTGACCTGGCTTGAAAAACACAGAGAGCCCGAAATCGGTGGCCTTGAGCGGCGATTCCTCGTCCTTACTCAAGAGTAAGAAATTCTCCGGCTTCAAATCCCTATGCATCACCCCCATCGAATGACAGTAATGCACGACGGTGACGATCTGACGGCAGAGATTTGCCGCAGCTCGCTCGGAGTAATG